ATTTGTTATAAGATAATGATTAATTTTTCATTATTCATGGGAACACTTTTCTGTAATCTTCTGATCTGATAGTTTTCTATCAACTGAGGTATAGCAATTATCTTGTATTATCTATTTTGTTGATAATCCCCCCACCCAATAAACATGTTACCCCTCCCAGAGGGGAGAAAAAAAAAATTACAGAATATTTCCCTCTTGAAGACATTAAATATTATCATTATTTAAATTATTTTTCCAAGCAAATGTAAATTAATATAATATGGTGTCGATACTTAATTTTTTTTAAACAAGTCAAAAACAAAAAAAATCTACAAATAATGATATATATTCTCTAATTTCATAAACATATATATTAGAAGTCACTTAAAACCTAAACGTGTACTGGGTTATAATGCAAGGAAAGTTATTTCGGAGGTGTACGCATCTTTTGTACTGCAGTGTACATGTAAACACAAGACGAATGTCGAAGCCTGAAATGGGATCCATCTTTCAAATATAAAATCAAAGAAATATTCTGGTCATAGGAAACTATTATGTGAATTATAAAAATTATCAAAATTTAATGCTTTTAACCTCCTCGGATACTAAACAAACACTGATGCATCTATTCTTGTTTACAAATTCCGCCCAGAGAGAACGGTTTCAATATGTACGCAGAGTATACACAACTTCATTTAACTTTCCTTGCATTATAACCTTGAACGTGTATAGCTCTGTCGTGCATTATTTCAAATATATGCACAAAGAAACAAAGAAGATTCAAAGTTTTTGAATTTTGAAAATTCGATTTTTTAAAGAAAATCGAAATCTACAAATTGTACCGCACTGCAAACTGTGAAATTTTCCTTCTCACTTTTTAGGTAGAAAATCAGAGATTTCTAGATTATGGATAATCACTGACTCAGTGAAAGGGTTAAAGGTTCAGGTAAAAAGTGGGAAGCCGTTGAAATCTCTAACTGGAGGTTCAATTACAATGATGTTTTAGTTTAAGAGAAAAATTATTCTCGAAAATATATATTGAAAAATTTGTTTTACAATAAAATTAATCACAGTTTATTACATTTCTTACCCTCCTTAGTGAACATTCATACATTTACATTTCTTACCCTACTCAGTGAACAGTATACATTTACATTTCTTACCCTCCTTAGTAAACATTCATACATTTACACTTCTTACCCTCCTTAGTGAACATTCATACATTTACATTTCTTACCCTCCTTAGTGAACATTCATACATTTACATTTCTTACCTTACTTAGTGAACATTCATACATTTACATTTCTTACCCTCCTTAGTGAACATTTTTACATTTACATTTCTTACCCTCTTTAGTAAACATTCATACATTTACATTTTTACCCTCCTTAGTGAACATTTATACATTTACATTTCTTACCCTCCTTAGTGAACATTCATACATTTACATTTCTTACCCTCCTTAGTGAACATTCATATATTTACATTCCTTACCCTCCTTAGTGAACATTTATACATTTACATTTCTTATCCTCCTTAGTGAACATACATACATTTACATTTCTTACGTACTTAGTGAACATTCATACATTTAAATTTCTTACCCTCCTTGGTGAACATTCATACATTTACATTTCTTACCCTCCTTAGTGAACATTCATACATTTACATTTCTTACCCTCCTTAGTAAACATTCATACATTTACATTTCTTACCCTCCTTAGTGAACATTCATACATTTACATTTCTTACCCTTCTTAGTTAACATTATACATTTACATTTCTTACCCTCCTTAGTAAACATTCATACATTTACATTTCTTACCCTCCTTATTAAACATTTATATACATTTATATTTCTTACCCTCCTTAGTAAACATTATACATTTACATTTCTTACCCTACTTAGTAAACATTCATATACATTTATATTTCTTACTCTTATTAGTGAAATTTCATACATTTACATTTCTTACCCTCCTTAGTAAACATTTATACATTTACATTTCTTACCCTCCTTAGTAAACATTTATACATTTACATTTCTTACCCTCCTTAGTAAACATTTATACATTTACATTTCTTACCGTATTTAGTGAACATTCATACATTTACATTCATACACACACTTACATATATCTACATTTATACACACAATTACATATAGTTACATTTACACATACACTTACATATATTTACCATTATACATACACTTACATATATTTACATTTTTACATGCACTTACAAATATATACATTTATACACACACTTAAACTTACATATATTTACATTTATATATACACATTCATACATTTACATTTATACATACACTATTCACATTCATACATCAACATTTATAAATACACTTACATATATTTACATTTATACATACACATTCATACATTTACATTTATACATACACTATTCACATTCATACATCAACATTTAAACATACACTTACATATATTTACATTTATACACACACTTAAACTTACATATATTTACATTTATATATACACATTCATACATTTACATTTTTACATACACTATTCACATTCATACATAAACATTTATACATACACTTACATATATTTACATTTATACACACACTTACATATATTTACAATTATACACATGTCTTCAAATCATATATTTTTTATGTAAAATCATATCGTTTTTTAAGATCATATAAATACAATTTTAGACCAAAAATTTACTGATTCTTGTTAATTGCCCAAAGCACAATGCACAGCACACGTTGTGCATTGCACATGTCACACTATTAATTGAACATGTCGCATTACAAATTGCAAATCGCGCATTGCACATTGCACAATGCTGAATGCATGGTCCTATCTATCCTTGAGTTATGAATGGCCCTTCACTTGTATTATGTCTAGTTTCCTTTTAGTTGATAAAGAAATATATTTAACCAAAGTAAACTCAACTTAAAGAGACTGTTCTTTATATTTCAAGTGTACAATTCGATCACAACAGTTTCCTTTACACCTTTGCAAGAAAAGAAAATATATTTTTCCTGCCCCCCCCTAGGAGCTCCAAGGGCGGGTGCAAAATTTTAACTGTAAATTCAAAACATTTGACTTCTTAGATATCAGGCATAAGTATAAGATACTTTAAAGGTTCACATACTGTCCAATTATCTTGCATGTACTATGCTTTATCTCTCCTTCAAACAAAACTAGCAGAAAAAAATATTGTTTCTAAAAAATCGACATTTTATTATGCTGTTATGTTAGTAATAATTAGTATTTAAACTAGAGATAGTAAAAGACATTTTTGAAAATGAAAAACCAGACTTAAACTTAAATTCTATGAGATGAAAAAAGGACAAAGGTCCAGAAAATAATTATGACTTGAAAAAGTTTATGTTTTTAAAAAAAAGTAATTGTTGTATCTTTACGTAAAACTGAAATATTGTGAAAAAAATTGTATTTTATAGATATTTATTGATTTTGATTCTTAACTTTTAAGATTCGTAGATTTTCTTGTAACAAAATGCTATATTTCAAAATTGAACTATTTTAAAGTGATGATTTTTATAATGATAGTCCATGTGATGATGTCAGATGTGCACTGTATTTCTACCTGCCAAAATTGAACATCCTCTGACACGCACCTCTACCCCTTCAGTAAAAGTAAATTCAACCCATATGAAGCATAAAGTCTGACCGCGTCAACCTTGTTGCACAGGTTAGTCCTGTCCATAGATCTAAGTGCATTACAAACTAGGACAGGAAAGGTTGACCCTGCTCGGGATATCAATTGTACTACGGCTGCCCGTGCTGAAGTATTTCTGTAGTTTAAACTTAATTATCTCTACAAGAAAGCTTAGCATACAGTACTGCGTGAGGTACGCTACTGAACACTCTTATGAAAGAAAAAGTTCAATATTAAGCTAGTAGAGTGGAATTGGACACAATGTTAGTACGCACAGTTCAAATCACCCCCCTAGAAAATGTCGTTTTAAAATCAAAATACTTGGTTGGTGAAATACAAAAGAAATATGTTCATTTTGCCAATAATCTTAGCTTTTCATTGCTCACGTAACGTACATTGATAATGAAATGATAATGATAATATTTTTCGCAGATTTTTTTTATATTACTGGATTTCTAAAATCAAAAATAAATTGAAATTATTCAAACTTTTTCAAGTAATTTTATAAGGTATATAAGTTACCACATAAAGGTGACTTAATTAGTTCAGAACCCAAATTTTTCAAATTTGACAATCATCAAGCATATCAGGGTAAAATATTATTTTCAGAGAAAAAAAAATGATTTGGATAATTTTGGCAGCATTATTCGTTAGAGTCGAAGGAACCAGGTTTAGTAGTTTTAATAGTTTGGTTCGTTTCTTAAAAACTTCTAATAAAACTTCCAATATTTCAAAACAGTATTCTGTTAAAGCTTGCTTTTATTGAACTTTGCAATATTTGTAGGAAGGAAGATCGATCGTTTTAACGTGTTTTGTTATGAATAGTATTTTTGGCATAAATTTTCTCAGGGTCAAATGTTGTCATATTGTTTGCAAAAGCTGAGTTTGAAGGAATCCTTATGCTTTGGCATTTACGATTTACATTCAGTCGTAGTTTGTTGTTGTTTATAAAGCATGAATATACTACAATTTTATAGTTTGTTCCAATATAACTGAATTTATCTCATTTATAACGTTCAAAAACATGTTTTACTTTTGAGCATTCATACTTTAGATATTGTAATTATCGAATCTAAACAATTTTTAAAGAAAGGTATCGCTTAATCCAATATTTAAAAAAAATCTTAAAAAAACATTTAAAGTTTTATTGTAAAAGTATACTGTATAGCTAAGGCTCGGCACTGTATAGCCATATAGCCATTCCCCGGAGGTTCATGGCGGTCGCGGGTTCCCTCCCTCGCATCTTTCATATTTCAGGATTGAGTATCGAGTCCAGGAAGAGGGGGAGTTTATTCCGGTGTTAGAGGACTTTATTACCATTCAAGCAGGTTAGCGGTTTTCATAGCTAGCATAGCTTATTAAGATTGTACTTTTCAGAGATATTTCTCTAACAGTATGACTACTATTGGAGATCTTCTAAAGGAATTTCCTTCCTCCCATACCGATGTTAATGTGATAAGTAACCATTTTTTGAGAAAGTATGAAGAGATACATAATTGTTTCATTACAAAGGATGATCTATTTTATGAAAAAGCGATTGAATATAAAAAGAAATATAAAATTTACCTAAACAAAGAAATCTTTCGTAAGCAGTGTTCAGTATGGATGAATCTACCAGCACTAAAGACACCCCCTCCATCATTGCCCCTGCTTTCATCATCACAGATAAAATTGTATTTCTCAACAGAAACTCTGACTAATCTTTCTTTAGAGATGGTTTTATTGCTAATGTCCAAAGTTCATACAGTGGCAAGCAGTGAAGATCAACGGGGTATGTTAAAAACTCTAAATGAGGATACTTTTAGAAAACTGTTCTACTCCCTTCCTCGTCCTGTAATATCCACATATTCAGAAAAAATTGTCCAAGGTTTACCAAAGCCATCTGATTCTAATTTGTCTCAGTCTGATTCCTTACAGCAAAGCTTTTCAGGAACTTCTGACAGAACAGAGGGTACAATTTCAGAGGAAAATTTTTGCCATTCTTCTGAATCTTCTTCTGAGGCAATCGATGTCAGTGTAGAGTCTTTTAAAAATGTTTCTGCTAACATTGCATCTGTAGCATCTCCATGCAGTCCTGAACCTAGCTTGTTTATTAGTGATGGACAATGTCAAACTGATTTGTCTGAAGTCGTGTTTAAATGCCAGGTTTGTAAAAAGACCTATTACTCCAAGTATTCTTTGACCATACATAATATAGCCAAGCATAGTGAACATTCGGGGTTTCAATGTCGGTTTTGTTGTAGAACATTTGCATACTATACCAATAAGACAAAACACGAAAAAACCCACCGTTCTGATGACCCATTAAAAATAGTTTTTAAGTGTGGCGTTTTTAAACTGGATAGTGAAATTAATATACACTCCATCCCACCCCCAGTTAAACCAAGGGAAAAACTGAAGAACCAGAAGAAAACCTGTGATGTTTGTAAAAAAACTTTTTCTTCAAAGTACACTTTGTATGTACATAAAAAACGCCACACTTTAAAACACACTGTGCAATGTGGCATATGCCACAAAAAGTTAATGCGTGGTAGTTTAAGAAAACATCATCAGGGTCACAAAAAATATCTCGAAAAAATCACACAGATTGAATCTTCACTTCCAACCCCACAGATTACTCCTGAGGATATATTGCAGTTGTCCAACAAAACTGGGCTGAGGTGACTATAAATTTTATATCATCTCTTTATTTACTTAACTATTTTTCATATGTTATTTTTTCTAGTGATAGAAAAGCTCTAGAAGTTGTCAGCATGGTCAGAAAAACCTTAGGGCCAGCTTGTATCAGTCCTAATATTGCAAAGCGGTTGGTAGACCAGAAAAAAAGAATTTCATCCATACTTCAGGAATTAATTGTAAATGTTTCTTTTGTTTTGGAAAAACTTATAAATCTTTTAAAATGAGGGGGATGGAGTGTGCTGAATTTTAGCTGCCTAGTTCTTTCAAAATATTTTTTTTTTAAATATTAACCTTATTTTAGGAAAATCTTAGCTGCCTAGTTCTTTCAAAATATTTTTTTTTTAAATATTAACCTTATTTTAGGAAAATCTTGCATGTCTCTTTTGTTTGGATAAACTTATGAATCTTTTAAAATGAGGGGGAAAGGGGAGTTCTGACTAATGTTGATCCGATAGTGTGCTGAAATTTAGCTGCCTAGTTCTTTCAAACTAGACAGAAATATGAAAAAATTGACAACATTACAATATAGCCAAGATTGTATGTTTGTTAAAAACAAAGAGTCTAAAGTGAGCTCCACAATAGGTGTTTACTATTGCAAGGACTTTGCAGGTCTAAGAGAGTTTGTAATTAAGGTGAGCTATTATAACTATATGTGCAATCAATGTTATAAAAAATTATATGTTATATTATGATATTTTTTTATTGTTTATTTTCAGGCTAGAAACCTAAAGGAAGAAAGCATTGTAGACCACTTTGGGATTGATTCTGGCAAATCCTCCCTAAAAATAATATGGAATCCTGTTCCAAAAGAATCAGGGATTGGTCATATTAACTAATAAAATATAAAAGAGAGCAGATGAAAAATCTGCATGAAAATATCTTTCATTTTTACACTATCACTTCACACAAATGACCAATATTGTGTAGATACTTCTGAAACCTTCAAAGCTGCAGGCATAAGAATTAAATTAATAATATTTTGGTGTCCAGTTAAAAAAAAATTCTTGTATTTTTTCAACTTAAACTATTTAACTCTTATGTAGGTTCTAGACAGTCAATTCTTATTGCAATAGCTCATGGTAAGGTTAACATTTTTAAAATATGAAAATGATCTATTAAAGCTATACTTTAGAGGTTAATGAGGATTATGATAACATAAAATACCTGCTTGACAAATGTGGCATTTCTGACTATAAGAGAAAATATTTCATTGAAACAGATCTCAAGCTGATTAATGTGATTTTAGGTAAGATTTATATAAAATTCTACATTAAAAAAATATGATATTAAACTTATGCATGAGCTTATTACTAAATTAATGATTTAGGTCTTGGGACTCATGCCTCTACATTTCCCTGTGCTTATGGCGAATGCTACAGAAAAAAAAATGGACACTGGGTACAAGGCGACACTAGAACCTTCAAGAGTATAACAGATCATTACAAGAAATGGAACAGTGCTGGTGCTGCCCCAAATGCAAGAAAGAACTTTGCATCGGTAAACAATATACCAATCCTCAGGACTTCAGATCCATTGCAACCTGTGATATGTGTATTACCCCCTCCTCCACTGCATGTTATAAAACTAGGTATGCAGACATTGTAGAAAAAAATCATTTTTAAGGTGTAAAAACAAGCTCAAGCTTATATATTTAAGGACCAGTTAATCACATCCTGAAGTTTTTGAACACAAAGAAGTTAGATTCACAAAAAATAGGTGAGAAAAATATTTTTAGCAATATCATTAGTATGAAATTAAATGAAATAAAATCTCTTACTCCTCTTGCAATTCTTTTTAATTTGTAATGCATTTAATATAAAAATATTTTAGCATCAGCAATGGGTATACAGTATGAGAAATATCATGGTGGTGGACTGAACGGAAATGATGTTGACAAACTCATTAGGTATCAATATTTTTCATTTCCAAAAAAGCAAAAGAAAAGTAAAATTTAATGAAAAACCATAGATAAAAATTAAATTTCTTTTCCTAGGAAACTACCACTTTTTGAAAAAGCTTTAAAAGCTCAAACTTCAGAAAGTGGCCAAGATGATCTTATGGTGGTGATACCAGTGATAAAGGCTGTTGGAGAACTTTACACTGCGGTGGCTTCCTCTGTGCTTGATGCAGACTACACAAGCAAAATAGAAGACTTTGAGCTGAAATGGACAAGGATGACTTCTATAATCAACATAACTACCCCGCCTAAAGTGCATATAATAATTACACATATAAGGAAACTTGCCATACTGATGATTTTTTTTATTAAATAAATTTTTAGAATTGTCTGATGTTCAGCATCTTCCAAAAACAACAATGCTAAATAAATCTTGTCAATTTGTAGGATCATAATATTTGACTTGATTTTAATTTGAAGACTATTGGTTTATATTCATCTATGCATCAAAATTTGTAATTAGAATTAAATTAATTAATTAGCTAAAAAAGAAAAGCTTAAACTTAAACATGAATGGCTTGAGCAGAGAGTTCATAGCATTGGAACAGAATAGTCTTAATCGGACTTCTGATCAGCACATTGAGGTAAGGGTTAACTTGACTAGAAAGAGAGGGAAAGGGTATATTTTATGAAAATTTGTGTCAACTGTTGATGAATCATAAATAAATTTTTGGGATGCCACAAAAAATGGGTATTAGGATCTTTTTGAAACTTTTTTTGTAGGCTGAACATGCAAAGGTGGAAATTCTGGGAAAGTCAAGTGCCTACAAGCGCCACAACAAGAACTCCTTCAACGGTAGAGATGGGCGCATTTGGCTTTTTTATTTTATTTTGTTTGTTCTTGAAATTATCATTGTTCGTTAAGTAAAAAGGTTCTTTTTGTGAAAAAAAAACAATAGTATTTTTTAAAGTTTGTGACAAAAATCGTTAAAATTGTTAAAAAACTATAATTTTAAATCTTTCTAAATACTCATTGGATCATTCGAAAAATTTAAAATAGGTTTTTGTTTTTTCATTCATGTTTTAAAACTATTTTTTTCATTTATCTGAAAGATCCAAGTTGTTCGTCCATCATTAGTTTATTTCTGAGCAACACCATTGTTAACAAAAAATTTGTTTGTTTTTAAAAATTTTGTTCTTTTGAAAAAATTATGCCCATCTCTAATTAAAGGCTGGACGGCACAGAAACGTCTGGTAGACCACTTCAACTCCCGGAATTTAAACAACTATGAGAAAGAAGTAAAGAGAAATAAAAAACCTGGAAAAGAAAACTTTGAGGTTACCTTTTAGCGTGCTGTGCATGAATTTCAATTTTTATTATTTGTAACCATAATTGGTAGATTTTATTATTTGAAACCATAATTGGTAGATTTTATTTGTAATTTATTAATTAACAATAACTATATCAAAGCATGTTTGATGGAAAAAGATTTTAGAATTGTTAAATGAAATGTGAACTATAATAATTCTTTTAAAATTTTATAAAAGATTAAACTTTTTTAATTTTCCATGTAACATAATTTTGATTTAAGATTTACTACCGAAGATTGATGGCAAAGTATAAAACGTATATATATATATTCTATAGAATATTTCTTTGTAAAATAGAAATGTAAAGTTAAGTTTAGAAGTAACATGATTTGTAAAAGTAAATCTGATATTATAAATTTTTTTCAGTTCAGAAAGATACCAATAGGTGTCTCAATATTTTGCTTTGTTTAGTTCATATATCCTTTACTTGATAAACATTTTTTAAGATCTTCTTTTCTTCTATTTATTTTTTATTTAAAATTAAAACAAAATATTAATTGTTTACTAAACTATGATATAAATTAATTATTATCTCTGCCTAAGTTAAACCTGGTAGTTTATAAAAAGGATATGTCTTGATTAATGACATCTCTTTGGTAGTTTATTTGATCTTGTTTTTCACTTTCTGTGCTACCTCATCTGGGATTATAAAATAACTTCGCCTTGGTTTAATCCCTGCAACTAATTATACTTCTTATAATAGAAGCCTATATTTTAATTTGACCCTGACCGACCATTCCGGTCAATCTGTATTTACCTGTATAAATAAATTAGTATAGAATCAATCTTTGTTTTAGATGGACGTACAGAGCCAGGGTTTTGGCTAGAGATAGAGTCTAGATAGACTTGGTATTAGAGTTAGAGTCAAGTATTGAGAGAATATTCGGGACCATGATCGTAACAGGATAATGTGAGTTTTGAAGAAAGATTGATTTTATATGAAATTTCATATTTTTTTCACGGCAATAATACAGAGAACAGAACAATCTCTAAATTTTTGTTACATAAATCTAAAGCGTGGGTTCTCATAAAGTATGAATTCTGCTCCACGCTTAAACCTTCAAACAAAATACTTAGCCCTACCTTTCAGCAGACAAAGAATCCTACATCCACGTAAAAAAACCAGATATTTCCGGATCAAACAAAACATCAAATACAAAAACATAAATATATTTTTTCNATTTTCATATTTTTTTTTTTATTTTTAATAATTTTCAGGCATGGAAACAATCTCTATGGTTGGATCCAACACAGGAATAAAAACTATTGATTAGATGGGTTTATACATGAATCTACAGTAAATAGTTAGAAAGATAGTTAGTAGATGGGTCTATACATGAATTTACAGTAAATAGTTAGAAAGATAGTTAGTAGATGGGTCTATACATGAATCTACAGTAAACAGTAAGAAAGATAGTTAGTAGATGGGTCTATACATGAATCTACAGTAAATAGTTAAAAAGATAGTTAGTAGATGGGTCTACTTGAATGTAAAGTTAATAGTTAGAAAGATAGTTAAAGTAGATGGGTCTATACATGAATCTACAGTAAATAGTTAGAAAGATAGTTAGTAGATAGGTCTACTTGAATCTACAGTTAATAGTTAGAAAGATAGTTAAAGTAGATGGGTCTACATGAATCTACTGGAAAAGAAGAGTTCACCACTGAAGTTTATGTGACTAATGCCGGCACTAAGGTATGATGACAAATCTGAAATATAATTGTTAAATAAATTTTTTTTAGATCATCAAGTTGAACATCCTACACTTTAATCGTGCAATGTACTCACACCTATTTCACATAGAAGAGAAGCTGTTTTATTTAACAGCTTCTCTTTGTTTCCATGTTTTGTGTATCTGTGCTGTTTAAAAGCTTGATATAAATTAAATTTGAAATTGAAAGTCGTCTTCATTATTTGATATATTCGCCTTCCACCGTACAATTGTTATGAACACACATTGGACGTTAAAAATGTACACCTAACGGTATATACCAACTTTGGATGTTACAAAAATACACCAAACGTTACAAAAATACACCAAACGTTACAAAAAACACCCGCCGTTTCAAATAAACATCGGACGTTTGTAACACACATCTGAGGTTACAAATTATACATTAAAACTACAAAAGCCATAGGACATTAAGAACGTCCCGTTTTTAATGGATCTTGCATTACATTAGTATTCCACCTCACGTACAGGGTGTCCCACAAAACATGACTATAGCACAAATTGAAGTTTACTTTTGATTTTCAAATAATTTGCATCTTTGCGCCGTAAACATAGTTTTAAATGTAAAATTCTAGAATCAATAATAACTAAATACCCCTAATCTTTGCATTTCCAAAATGTGGTCTACCTTTGGTACCTTTAAAATTTCCTGTAATATTTACATCACAAAAAAGGCAAACCACATTTGGGAAATACCAGGACTTGCAGATAATATTGTGGTTATTGTTTCAAGAAACATCATGTGTAAGTAGGTTGACGACTGAATGTCACAAATAAATTCACAGTTCAAGGACGACTTTCAAATCGTCTTGCTAATGTCATGTTTCGAGTGACACCCTGTACTTACCACATTATTATGATAATAATAATAATAATGATTATGATAATAATAATAATAATAATAATAATAATAATCATAATAGTAATAATAATAATCTAGGTGGTGTCTATGTTTATGTTATTGGAGGTAGACTAACACCTCTTCATCCAGATAAAGTATTCACATTGTAAAATAAATTTGAAAACAGATTAATTAACAAAATTCCACGTTAAGAGAGGATACTTAATTTGCTTTTACTTTCATAAGGGAAATTTTGTTCTAAAATAGTTCGGTCCGTTACTTCAAATAGACTGTAAAGGAACTGAGTTCTAGCCACAATCTCTGATTTTCTTACCACTACATCTTTGCAGCCCAATGTCACAGACCTTTGATATTTCAAACTATGAATTCAGAGCTGAAAACTTTAGAATGGTGGATATCAGGATTAAGGCTTAAACCACTCTTTTTCTTAATATCCAGTTTAAATATTGCTTGTTCTCCACATGAATTTAAACTCCAGAGAAGCAACATGATGAGACAATTGGATATTTCATTCTAAAGTTTTCAGCTCTGTTAGATCAAATATCAAAGGTTTACACAATCAATTTGCTAAGATATAGAGAATAGAAACATTTGGTTTGTGACAAAAACTCAATTCCGTTTTGATTTGAGTGTTACTTCTTATTTTTCATTAAGAATTCTAAATAAAATCTTAAAAGTTCTGAATCGTTTACCCACAAAGGATGAGACTGTAAAGACGACCCAAAATTCTAAAATATGACAATTCTTATTTAATTTCTAAATTTCTGTCACTGCACTTAATTGAGAATTTTGATGGTTTACTTAATAATCAAGCACAGAAATAAACCAGTTTTGGCCTACAAGGAACCCATGAATGCAAGGAAATAGACAAAACAAATTCATTAGAATCNAATAAACCAGTTTTGGCCTACAAGGAACCCATGAATGCAAGGAAATAAACCAGTTTTGGCCTACAAGGAACCCATGAATGCAAGGAAATAAACCAGTTTTGGCCTACGAGGAAGCCATGAATGCAAGGAAATGGACAAAACAAATTCAGTAGAATCTTACTTAGAATTACTAAAGTCTCATCCTTTGTCGGTATTCCTGAACATGGACGTCTTATAGCTATTAAAACACTAGTTTTTGTCTCGCAGTGATATGAAGTTTTCGGACAGAAATTTTCACTTTTTCGATAAAAATCTTATTATTTTTTCCCATTAATCCAATAAAAAAAATTTAGCCAGACAAAGACAGCAGAGTCCGAATTTATTGAATTTGAGCGGCGTCTCAAATTCGCCGAAAACTGATCTTAATTGAGCACCGGCTTGATTCTTGAAACATTGAATACAATTATAAGTGGAACCAACCAGATTTGAGCTGTGTCTCAAATTTAAGCCACGCCTCAAATTCTTTGAAATTGGCCTCAGGTTAAGTTGAGAGAATTTTTTTCTCTCTGTTTTTTTCAGCTGTTGACTTTTTTCATCTTTCTTTGCAAATCCATTATTTGTTGAATTGCAATTATATTAATCTTTTCTCTTCCTTTTTTATACAGAGATCCAGACAGCTACACAAATTATGCTCAAATTTTTAAGATAAGGTTGATTTTGGTTTAAATTTTCCCCACTCTCTTATTCATTTTCGAAGTTCTACACATAACACTAGCTTCAGCTTAAAAGGAGTAATTGGCAGAATCCTGAAATATTTGTACTTGTGATTAACCATAAATATATTCTATAGATTCCTCCCCTCTCGAATCTGGAAAATTTCCCCTGCATAGCAGCTCACACAGGTGTAGTTTGAAGGGATTGTAAGGGAAAAATAGAAATAGAATGAAATCTGTTTAAGACTACAACTTTTATACAAAATAGCATATATATGAATTTTCGTATAAATTTGACACATTTTTATATCAATTTCTCGAGATAGGAACATGAGATAGAAGTCTTATATGTATCATTCAACCCCTGAAATTCTCAGATTTTATCCTAATTCCTAAACCTCCATTCCTTTTTCATGTACAGTCCCTTTAAGTTTTAATCCCTGATCATACAGGCCTCTTCAAATACAAAAAAAATCAAACTCCTGAAAGTACAAACTCCTGAAAGTACAAAAAACTCCTGAAAGAAACAAACTCCTGAAAGTACAACTGAAAGTGCAAACTCCTAAAAGTACAAACTCCTAAAAGTACAAGCTCCTGAAAGTAAAAACTTCTGAAAGTACAATGAATGACTCCTTAGACGGTCTTAGCCGCAGCGCTCGGTCCTTTTTCTTCTAATATAAACCCCTTCTTATCTCGTTATAAGCATTTCGTTGCATGATCATTTTGATTTTGCAACGGAGACAGATCTGGATTTTCCAGAAAGGCGCAGTCAGTATCAATGCTATCCTTAGAGACATCTTTGGACTATTCCAAATCAATATCTTCTCCAGAATACGCTAGAACAAATCAGGAGCCAACTTCCTTCACCTGTCGTTTTAACTTTGAAAACAGGGAATCATTTAAAAAAGGCAAATTTGAAATTCAAAATAATTGTTTTTTATTCCTTGACTTTCGACATATTAATCTGATTGACAATGAGGTAGAAATCGTGGGTTTTCTATCTTGAAAGATTTAAAAATCGGTTCCCTCAATTTATTTCATAATTTCACAGGCATATATCAATATAAACCCCACTGAAAAATTGTTAATACATTATTTTGTAAATTCTTTATATATTTCAGAAGTTCAGGGTTAAATGTAGGGATAAAAACAACAAACTTATTTTTTAATGATTTGATAGAACGGAACTTGTAAACTTCACAATCCTTCAATCTGTTTCCCAGGAAAGACGACATTTAAAAATTTATCTATTTTGGCTGAATAGCAATTAAATATATAAGGAAACGACTTGTAGAATTATTCTTGATTAAAAGTCAAAATCCTCATTGTGTAACATAAATACTTTTTTTAATTTTTAAATGTTGATATTTTGAAGGTTGAAGACGACTTTTCGGCTCATATTCAGGCGAACTTTGACCCAGGAAAGAAACAGTAATTTAAATTTAAAATCTATATAAATAAACCTGGTTAATAGTAATACCCCCATTACTAGACAGTAATTATGGTATCTCAAATATGCCCCCTAGCCCCCCTTAGACTGGAAAATGCATGCAGTTCTACTGTCTACATAATATGGTAAAAAGTTCTGAATTTTAAATATTAACATTCGATTGACAATTTTACCCTGAAATGGTCTGTGTGATCAAGTATGAAGTGTATATAAATGACAAGTATAAAACTAATAATTTTCGACTGTGGTTTCTTTGCAACTACTACTGGACGAGATCATATAGGAATTATCATATAACTAAACTCTTTTTAACTATAGAAGAAGGACTTCCACAATTTCTTCCACATGATAAATCTAGCTGATAAAGTTTTAAAGATTACCTTTGAAAAACAGGCATTGACATCTGTGCATATAGATCACTTGATAATCCGTTTAAAGTCCCTTTAATGCATAGTTTAGACAGTTTTTACACTGTTTTCCTTATTTTAGATTCTGAAGATAGCTTGGCTCAAATAACATGCAAGGTTATTTATGAAAAATACATTTGTATTTAAAGTTTTTAAATTCAAATATTCTTTTTTTCAGATTAAGAGCTTGCCGAGAAATCTGGGATTAGGTAAACAAAAAATATTTGCAATTTGTAACCTTAAATTAAAATTACACATTTTAATTATTGAATTATATGTTTATATGTGATAAAGACGACATTTTAAATATCCTTTCGATGTATCCATATTAATGAGTTTAACTGTAATATATAATTCTTTTAACGATTTAGGTCTTCTATTTCCGTTAGAAAGTTTGTATAATGCATATCTTGTACGGTTTGTCGTTAAAGATAAGCGTTGTTCAAAATTTTTGAATTTTTAAATACAAATTTGTCATTCAAAGATATTAAATTTTCTAGAGCTTGCCTGGGGTTTACCTGCCAAAGGCTTAGAGCTTCTTACAAAGGATCACCCAGACGTACTTTTTACAGATAGGTAGGATTAAAGTATACTTTTTAAAGATAGGTAGGATTTAAGTATACTTTTTACAGATATGTAGGATTAAAGTATTCTTTTTACAGATAGCTAGGATTAAAGTATTCTTTTTACAGATAGCTAGGATTAAAGTATTCTTTTTACAGATATGTAGGATTAAAGTATGCTTTTTACAGATAGGTAGGATTAAAGTATTCTTTTTACAGATAGGTAGGATTAAAGTATGCTTTTTACAGATAGGTAGGATTAAAGTATGCTTTTTACAGATATGTAGGATTAAAGTATGCTTTTTACAGATAGGTAGGATTAAAGTATGCTTTTTACAGATAGGTAGGATTAAAGTATGCTTTTTACAGATAGGTAGGATTAAAGTATACTTTTTACAGATAGGTAGTCACAATAAAATTTTACAGATAGGTAAGATCAAAATATACTTTTTACAGATAGGTAGGATTAAAGTATTCTTTTTACAGATAGGTAGGATTAAAGTATTCTTTTTACATATAGGTAGGATTAAAGTATACTTTTTACAGAGAGGTAGGATTAAAGTATACTTTTTACAGATAGGTAGGATTAAAGTATTCTTTTTACAGATAGGTAGGATTAAAGTATACTTTTAACAGATAGGTAGGATTAAAGTATACTTTTTACAGATAGGTAGGATTAAAGTATACTTTTTACAGATAGGTAGGATTAAAGTATTCTTTTTACAGATAGGTAGGATTAAAGTATACTTTTTACAGATAGGTAGGATTAAAGTATACTTTTTACAGATAGGTAGGATTAAAGTATACTTTTTACAAATAGGTAGGATTAAAGTGTACTTTTTACAGATAGGTAGGATTAAAGTATTCTTTTTACAGATAGATAGGATTAAAGTATTCTTTTTACAGATAGGTAGGATTAAAGTATATTTTTTACAGATAGGTAGGATTTAAGTATACTTTTTACAGATAGGTAGAATTAAAGTATCCTTTTTACAGATATGTAGGATTAAAGTATACTTTTTACAGATAGGTAGGATTAAAGTATACTTTTTACAGTTAGAAAGGATTGAAGAATACTTTTTACAGATAGCTAGGATTAAAGTATTCTTTTTACAGATAGGTAGGATTAAAGTATTCTTTTTACATATAGGTAGGATTAAAGTATATTTTTACAGATAGGTAGGATTTAAGAGCTTGCCGAGAAATCTGGGATTAGGTATTCAAATAACAATTTTCAATTTGTAACCTTATACATTCAAATTACACATTTTAATTATTGAATAAACGTTTCTACAAAACTCTTCAAAACTTCAATACTAAGATCTCCAAAGTGGGGTCTGTATGTTTTGCACTGTCAAAATTCACTAAGATTATTATATTTTTAGTTAATTTCATTTAATACAGTAAACTCATTAATATGAATACATCGGGAGAATTAATATAATGTCGTCTTGAATTTGAATTTGAAGCTGTCAGCTGTATTTTCCCAAGCTGTCAAAGTTTTCTTCCAGAAGCTTAACAGGGAAATGCGCGACACATGTTATCCAAAACAATAGATAGTTGGGTGCTACATCTTATATTACTTTTAGCGACATAACCAAGTTAAAAGTGATAAAGACGACATTTTAAATATTCTTTTGATGTATTCATATTAATGAGTTTAACTGTATTATATAATTCTTTTAACTATTTAGGTCTTTAATTCCCGTTAGGAAGTTTGTATGATGAGTATCTTGTACGTTCTGTCGTTAAAGATAAATGTTGTTCAAAAGTTTTGAATTTTAAAATTACAAATTTGTCATTCAAAGATATTGAATTTTCTAGAGCTTGCCTGGGGTCTACCTGCCAAAGGATTAGAGCTTCTTACAATGGATCACCCAGACGTACTTTTTACAGATAGGTAAAATTAAATTATACTTTTTACAGATAGGTAAGATAAAATCATACTTTTTACAGATAGGTAGGATTAAAGTATACTTTTTACAGATATGTAGGACTAAAGTATACTTTTTACAGATAGGTAGGATTAAAGTATACTTTTTACAGATAGGTAGGATTAAAGTATGCTTTTTACAGATAGGCAGGATTAAAGTATACTTTTGACAGATAGGTAGGATTAAAGTATACTTTTTACAGATAGGTAGGATTAAAGTATACTTTTTACAGATATGTAGAATCAAGGTTTACTTTTTACATATATGTAGGATAAAAGTATTCTTTTTACAGATAGGTAGGCTTAAATTATACTTTTTACAGATAGGTAGGATTAAAGTATACTTTTTACAGATAGGTAGGATTAAAGTATACTTTTTACAGATAGGTAGGCTTAAAGTATACTTTTTACAGATAGGTAGGCTTAAATTATACTTTTTACAGATAGGTAGGATTAAAGTATACTTTTTACAGATAGGTAGGCTTAAATTATACTTTTTACAGATATGTAGGATTAAAGTATACTTTTTCCAATTTTGCGACCCTGAATAAAATCAATTTGTTCTGTAAGACACTGTTTGTAGATATAGTATAGAAGAAGAGTATATTGAGGATATTGTAGATATAGTATAGAAGAAGAGTATATTGAGGATATTGTAGATATAGTATAGAAGAAGAGTATATTGAGGATATTGTAGATATAGTATAGAAGAAGAGTATATTGAGGATATTGTAGATATAGTATAGAAGAAGAGTATATTGAGGATATTGTAGATATAGTATAGAAGAAGAGTATATTGAGGATATTGTAGATATAGTATAGAAGAAGAGTATATTGAGGATATTGTAGATATAGTATAGAAGAAGAGTATATTGAGGATATTGTAGATATAGTATAGAAGAAGAGTATATTGAGGATATTGTAGATATAGTATAGAAGAAGAGTATATTGAGGATATTGTAGATATAGTATAGAAGAAGAGTATATTGAGGATATTGTAGATATAGTATAGAAGAAGAGTATATTGAGGATATTGTAGATATAGTATAGAAGAAGAGTATATTGAGGATATTGTAGATATAGTATAGAAGAAGAGTATATTGAGGATATTGTAGATATAGTATAGAAGAAGAGTATATTGAGGATATTGTAGATATAGTATAGAAGAAGAGTATATTGAGGATATTGTAGATATAGTATAGAAGAAGAGTATATTGAGGATATTGTAGATATAGTATAGAAGAAGAGTATATTGAGGATATTGTAGATATAGTATAGAAGAAGAGTATATTGAGGATATTGTAGATATAGTATAGAAGAAGAGTATATTGAGGATATTGTAGATATAGTATAGAAGAAGAGTATATTGAGGATATTGTAGATATAGTATAGAAGAAGAGTATATTGAGGATATTGTAGATATAGTATAGAAGAAGAGTATATTGAGGATATTGTAGATATAGTATAGAAGAAGAGTATATTGAGGATATTGTAGATATAGTATAGAAGAAGAGTATATTGAGGNACTACAAGAAAAAATGGCAGATATTGTGAGAATAAAATTGTTTTTAAGCTTGAAAAACAATAATATTTGCCACATTATTGATCACATAAGATCTAAAGGGTATCTTTGAAAATCGAGCATTGCACTCTGTAAATGGAAGGTCACTTGGAATTACAAGAACAGTCCCTTTAATAAAAAAACTCCTAGGATAACATTATTAAAGTTCAGAATATGTTTAAAGACGACATTTTTCAATTATTTAGGGCACATACAGTTGTCATGTGTCAAGAGTGGACAAAAGGTAATTACGAATAAAGAATTGAACAAAAAGTTGTGATCTTTATTTTTTCTTCTTCAGGACGACATCTGCTGAAACTTATTTAAACGTGGAAGATCTGGTGATGACGACCTTTAGAAATATTCCGCCATTTTCCATCAGTTCATCTGCTGTTTCTGCATCAGCTGTTTCAGTGTCAGCTGTCTCTAAGAAATGTGTTTTTCTTCAATATTTTGTCAGTATTATATCAATTTATTATATTTATAAATTTTAAAAGTTACTCTTAACTTTTAATATTACTTAATATAAATTATAGATAGATACTTGCAACAAAAATATACCGATATAACATCCAGGTGCGTACACAGGGTGAAAGCAGTAGTCCCCTTGCCCCCACCCCCCTTTTGATTTATGGGCAAAGGTTAAAATAAGTTGTGGTGGGTAAAAATGAGTTTACCCTCATCTTCAAAGGGGTTCCCCCTTAAAAAGTAGTTGAAAATATTCTTGGCGCTGCACGCCACTTATCTTCATATTTTACCGTAGTATTTCCCTTATATCTAAAATCTTCTCCTCCCCCATACTTGATAAACAATTATAGCTTTATGCATTATTTGGCATGTCTTCCCGCAACCCCCATGAGGGTCAGGGGGAGATTACATTATGAGAGGATTAAGGGAGAATAAAGAACGGAGGACTAATGATAGTCTTTAGGAGACTATTTAGGACTTCGGAGAGTAATACAGAACTATATACAGAGAGATACATTATAATATAACGTCCTTGAATTACAAATACAATGGGCTACATAGGGGACATGTAGTTGACTTTTAATAAATGTCGCTTATGAAGACGATATATCACTATTAAAAGATGTGTACAGTGTACCAAGAAACTTAACAATAAGGTTGTTTTAGATCTTCAAAATTGTGATAAAACTCTAAAAATAAATTTCGAGAAAAGGTTTACGAAAATGCCGCGCCTTTTTTCAAAGATGAAAGATTCAAGTCGTCTTACTTCTGTTAAGTTTCGTGGGACACCTTTAAACCTGTTCAAACTGTTATTCATGTATTTCTAAATAAATAAATGTGCCATCCTAAGTTCTGAGCCAGCTATTGATTCTGATTGAGCTACATAACCCCCCCTTTCTCTCTTCCTATAATACTTTCCCCCTACTTATTGGAGGAAACCATGACGAAACACCTCCAATTGTATGATTTAAAAGATATATCATTCTATTACATCCGGGTTTGCCATTAATGACGGCCAATGTTGGCTTGGAAAATCCCGTCATTAAAGTATTAGTTTAAAGTAAATATCTATCTATCTATCTATTTACAAATGCAATTATACAATTAGTATTATTAATATACAGGGTGTCCCATGAAAGTCGTCTTTCAACTTTAAATTTATTTGTGACATTCAGTTTTCAACCTTCTTTCACATTCCTGAAACAATAACCACAAAATTCCCCTAGTCCTGCCGTCTCCAAAACAATATTGCCGGAGATATTAAGAATTTTGTTCAGATTTAACTTTTATTAAATAAAAGCAAAATTGTCGAAATCTGAAGGAAATATATCATAACTCCGGAAACATTGAACTCAAGGGGTATTTTGGGATTATTAATTCTAGAATTTTACTCCTAAAAAAAGTTAACGAAAATGTCGCATATTATTTCAAAGGTCTAAGACGACCTTTAAAATTATCTTACTTTTGTCATGTTTCGTGGTTCAACCTGTAGCCTTATCATAGATTCCTAATGTTCACTTAGCCATGAAATAGAACCAATTACTGTTTACAGATTACAGTTATAATGGAGATTAAAAAAATCAAAATGTAAGGGAGTGACAACAATGGAAAAAGTGGCAAAATTGGAAATTCCCCAATTTACCAATCATTTGGGAATTCCCCAAATATCCAGTCACAAAATTTCCAAAATTCCTATAGAATCCGGGGAATTTCAAAAAATTCCTATTTTCTTCAAAAATATAATTGCTATCTAGGTTTTGAAAGAATAAATTAATTAAAAAACGTATAAGATACTGAAATGGACACTTTTTAATTTAAAAGATTTAAAAACAAATCTGTTTAATTTTAATCAAAAGATATAAAGATATAACATTTACGTGTGAAAATGATTTTATTCATAGTTTTTTCATTGCATATAAAGCATTTAAAAAACAATAATCAATTTCAAATTCTGATTTAACGGATAGAGGTTCCATATTTGCATATTTTATAGCTGGCAAAACGGCTGACATTTAATTAAGGAACCCCATGGGTACCCGGGGGGTAACATATGCTAAACAAATTCAATTTTTTCTAATTTCGATGGGCAACGCCGGGCACTATAGTTTCTAGATTTTGCCAATTAATTCTAGTACAAATTAAATCAAAATGTCTCGGGCTTCAATAAAGTATATAATTTAGTGAGATAGAGAATCAAAGTCTAAGGTGTTGTGACACTTCAAAGTCGACCAGTAGCTAGTCTTTTCATCATAACTTTCATCTACTTTGAAACACAATTGGTGAGAAGGATGAACATTTCAAGGTTCTCATCACAGTTGGTTTATCTGCTATTCTAGTATTATATAGCTCTAAACTTAGATGTTTAAAGATTTTCTCAAGTTACAAAAAATATCAAGGATTAAGCGAAGATTCACAGAGTAAAGATAAAATAAGAACATAATATATATTATACATTTTATTATATACTACATACATTATATAATATTCATAGAGGTTTTACAGAAAACTCTATTTCAGACATTGAAGCCCTCCTCACTATAGTGCAATTATGAAATTTTTGGACATTTTTAAATTCTAACAGTTAGAACAAATAGACAGAATAGAAGGATTAGATAGATAAATAGATAAATAGATAAATAGATAAATAGATAAATAGATAAATAGATAAATAGATAAATAGATAAATAGATGATTTGCTTGAATGTAACCGCAAAGTGTGTGTGCAGGCACTAATCGTGCACCTTGACAATTAAACTTTGTTTCCTGGTAAATTTATAAACTGAAATGAGTCACGAACCATCACATAGAGCTAGACTGTTATGAAAAGTACAGGGTCTACTTTGAATTGTCGCCATGCCTTGACCTTTGATTTTACCTCACCAAATCATACAAACTCAATTTTATGTAGCTCAGAACATGTTCAATTTAGTTTTAATTTAATCTAATTTAATCCGAGTTTTATATTGCAACTTTCTGACTTTGTATGGACGCCATGTTCTCCAGTATGAGTTGTTTTTAACAATTAACGTAAGCATATACCCCCTTTCACTTTTCGCGAACACTCCCTTTAAATGACTTTGATTTACTTATCCGACCTTTAAATAAAATAATCTTTTTATTTTCATCTGTTTTAGTCAATTATTACTGAATTTTTAAAATCCAAACTATGTTCAGTGGAATTCTTTCAAATGAACTCCTCTTCACCCAAATTACATACTTTGCCAAATATTTAAAGTAATAATTATGAGTTTATGAAATACAGTTTTGCTTTTCCGAAATAAATAGCATTGTGAAACTTACTGAAACCTTATTCAAAGGGAATTGAGTGTAATTTCAAGTGACCCTCCATGCAAAGATGACAATGCCCGATTTACAACGATACCTGATGTTTTTTTTCTTCAGACTGTTTATGTTTATTTGCGGTTTCTCTGCGAAAGTGACTTGCCTATTTTTTGGTTATAAGAAGCAATGGAGAAGCTTACAGAAATAAACCTATTTTGAGTCAGAAAATACACTATTCTTCACATTTTTGATTAGATTCAGGTTTCAAGGTTATAGTTGTGAATCGGACATTGCCATCTTTTCATAATTAGGGTCATTTAAAATTATGTTTACAGTCCCTTAAAATAATCAAAAACATTCCTCTTTTAATCGCAAAGTTTTTTCTAAAAAAAAAATAATAATTATGGGTTCAATTTATTAACTCACAGCAACTCGCACCACAAAAATGGCAAAATATCACAGAAGACGACTTGTTCCCTTTCTACCAGGACGCGGCAGATGTTTTGCAGTTCCGTTCCAAGGAGGCCACGCCGAGATAATATGGGAATATGTCGTTAAAATAAATAAATAAATAAATAAACTAATGGTGATTTTCCATGGTTCTCATCAGTCAGGTTCTTGGGAAGGACTAGGTTGGCAAGAGGAACGATCTCTTGGGTTTGGGAAATGTGGAGGATTTGGATTTTTGGGAGGATTAACATGTTTAGAGGATTTGGATATTGTTTAGTAGGTGTCAGGATTAGGATTAGGTTTTGTTTGGTGGACAAGAAATCAGGAAATGGAGTGCAGTACTAAATCAGGACGTATGGATTAGAAATGTTGGATGTCAGGAATCGTCAGGGAAGGATGATAGATAAGAGGAATATGATTTGGGAGCACTGGATTTTTTTCTTTAAATGTAAGGAATAATTTTCAGGATATAAAAGGAAATAGGATATCAGGACGGAATTGGGAAAGGATTCAGGATTTGGACTGCATGATTGTACAACAAGATTTCCTTTGGTTCTAAGACATGATGTGAAGGGATTTCAGCTTTGGTTTTCTAATACTTTGAAAGACATTTACTGGGGAACATGGCAAGAGCAAGCACTGGGGAGCTTGTAGGTGTCAATGAAGAATCCTCTGTAAGGATCACAGGGATCAACAGAGAGCATCCTGTGGTAGACATACTTCTGGGTGCACTTGCTGTTATAACAGGGAGCAACGAGTCTACAGGCGGAGTCTGGGAAGAGACAGGTCTCTAGTCTGGTAGTCTGGGTGTAGTTGTAGTGTCCATATCCGTAACCTTCAGGAATGTGCTGAAGAATAATTCTCCAGTGTCCCTCAACGTTGACAGCACGGGTGATCTTGGCATAGTCAACATCAGATGGGCACAGGTATCCCTCAGGTCCGATCCAGTTGGTGGCATCATAAGGAGATGGGCCCTTGGATGCTCCAGTGTAGTACTTGTAGTCGAAGGACTCCTCCTGGGGTTTGCTAATGTGCTCAACAAGATCATCAGCAGACTGGTCAGCGACATCAGCATACTTCTTCAGGAAAAGGGCGTCTTGGGAGATTTTGTGAGCAATATCATAAGCGGGATATTCAGGGTCTAGGATACAGTAGGGGAGGTCAGATCCTTCGGCACACTTTGGTGGGGCCTTAGGATCACAATATCCATGGTGGGCGGGGGCTGGAGAGTAGGGGGCGGGTGCATAAGGAGCGGGGCTGTGGGGAAGAGCAGCCCAGACTGCTACTGGGACTATCAGGACTATACTAGCAACCTGCAAATAAATCAACATTGAAAAACATGGCATATTGAAAAAATTATGTAGACCTATTTAGTAAGGAAGATGCATTAAATTTAAATGAAGTTGAAGATAGAAATTACTCTGTATCAAGCATAGAGTAGATATTGGTAGGTAGGAAGTAATAAATAAGAAATATGATAATGCAATTATGAACTAGGTAGAAAAAGTGGAAAAGAAATCATCGAAACAGGAAGCATCACAACAGGAAGCATTAAGTATGAAGCTAGGAACCAGGAAGTATTGACTATGAAGCAGAAAATGTCAAGCTAGGAGAAAAAGGAAGTATCAAACTAAGAAACAGGAAGTATTAAACAAAGAAACAGAGTGTATCAAACAATGAAGAAGAACAAATCAAAGTTTGAAACAGGAAGAATAAAATTAGGAAGCAGGGAGCAGGAAGAATCAAAGTAGAAAACAGGAAGAATCAATGTAGGAAGCAGGACGAATTAAAGTAGGAAGCAGGAAGAATCAAAGCAGATAAAAAGAAGAATATTAGTGCGAAAGAGGAAGTATCAAGCCAGGTTGCAAGAAGCATTAATGCATGAATACTAAAATAAAAAGTATAAGGCAAGACACAGAAAGTATCATAATAGGAAGCAAAAATCAACAATGCAGGAATACTAAAAAAGGAAGTAGGAAGTGTAAAGCTAGGAATACTAGAATAGGAAGTAGGAAGTGTCACGCTAGGAATACTAGAATAGGATGTAGGAAGTTTCAAGCTAAGAATTCTAGAATAGGAAGAAGGAAGTGTCAAGCTAGGAATACTAGAATAGGAAGTAGAAAGTGTCAATCACGGAATACTAGAACAGATAGTAGGGAGTGTCAAGCTAGGAACACTAAAATAAGAAATAGGAAGTGTCAATCTAGGAATACAAGAATCGGAAAAAGGAAGTATCAATCTAGGAATACTAAAATAGGAAGTAGGAAGTGTCAAACTAGGAATACTATAATTGGAAGAAGAAAGTATCAATCTAGGAATACTAGAATAGGAAGTAGGAAGTGTCAAGCTAGGAATACTAGAATAGGAAGTAGGAAGTGTCAAGCTAGGAATACTAGAATAGGAAGTAGGAAGTGCCAAGCTAGGAGTATTAGAATAGGAAGTAGGAAGTGTCTCGCTAGGAATACTAGAATAGGATTTAGGAAGTGTCAAGCTAAGAATACCAGAATAGGAAGAAGGAAGTGTCGAGTTAGAAATACTAGAATAGGAAGTAGGAAGTGTAAAGCTAGGAATAGGAAGTAATCTTTTACCAATTTTGAGACCATGGCGCTGCGTGTGAGTTTTAAATTGAACTGCATTATACCCTACAACGCTTAAACTATTTATACTCAGGCGCCTCTGACGCTTTGCGTACTCCAGGCGCCATGACGCCCTATACGCATCCAGCTGACGCCTAGCTAGACAACCGGAAAAACAAGAAAAATACGCAAATACGGTTTAAAATTTACTACGGAAGGGGGAAGATGTGCATTTAATTTCGCATAGAATTTCTTTCAAACATCTAAACGCGTAATAATTCAAGTTTTTAAAATAACTAAGGTGTAATTAATAATTACACCTTTTCTTTGTTAGTCAATATTGTAAATCCCTAGGGAGACATAAACTACTACTACTTTCTATATAATTTTATCCAGTTTTTTAGATAAAATTTAAATATGTAAAGTTTGGAATAAATGTGTACAGTAAAATGTACAGTTTTTCGATAAATTCTAAATATGTACAATTTTGCATAAATGTGTACAATGTACCTGGACTGTACAATGTACAGTTTGGGACAAAGTTTTAATAGTATATGGCATTTACTACAGATAAACATGTCTACATGTCTACATGTCTACATGTCTACATGTCTAATGTCTACAATGTACAGTTTTAGGTAACAGTTGTAAATATATTTACGGTACAATGTACATAGCAGATAATCATGTACAGTTTTACATAAATACAGTTAAAGTTATAAATAATTATTAAATAGATTTACTTTTCAAGATTTTCAAAAAACTTTGGTAATTTAAATTACTATAAGTTTGTTTTTCTCCCATTAGATGCAAAGTAACCTCCGTGCAAAGATAGCAATACCGATTTTACAATTCTTAAAAGCTTTGTCAGATCGTGTATGAATTATAAATCCATGTTTTTTTTCTTTCAGTTGTCCATTTTCAATTGTGGTGTCTCTTTAAAAGTGACTTGCGCATTCTTTGCTTATCAGAAGCAATGGAGAAATTGACAGAATTGAACACTTGTTGAGTCAGGAAACCACTTTTCCTTAGCGAAAAAATCAAAATTGCGCAAAACAGTATTGCGAAAAAGCGGAATAGTGCATTTTTGCGTATCACGAATTTTGCGAGTGATTGCGCAAATTGTTTTTTTTCGCAAAAAATTGTTACGCAACGAAAGAAATGTTTAGAATTTCGGTTCGTAAAATTTTGCGAAATGAAACCCTTTTCAGAAACCATTATTTGAAAAAAATCTTAACTTAAAACCTTAAAACTTAAACCCCCCTCCCCAACACCTTAAAAGGGACAGAAGGCTTAATTTCAAGTGACCCTCTCTTTAAATAGTAAAGATAGCAATTAGCCGAGTTATGAATTAGATTTCCAAGTTTTTGTTTCTTTTTAAGTCTGAAAAACGATAGTATCGTTTTTTAATCAGAATGATGAAGGTTTCCAGAGTACCACTGTAAAGCGGCATTGTCATCTTTGCTTGGAGGATAACTTGTAACTACGCTCACAGTCCCTTTAATACTACATTTAACAACAACATATATCAATGAGATATCAATGATAATTAATAATAAAAGATTATTATTCATTCCATGATATTAATTGCTTTGATAAACTTAGAAATAGTAAATCGTTTGTACATTTACAGTTACATATAACGGTAATTATTAAAAAATTTAATTTTTAATACCAAGGCCTACAAAAAAGTTAACTAGGTGGGCAAGGTTATAAAGGGCCAGACCGGCTATGTAAGGTAGTTAAATTGAGTATGCAGTGTTGTGGACAAATTCTTTAGGATTCATTTGAGACATACAAATACAACTTTTTAAAGATCTGTAAATCCTGAGTTTGATAGCAAAGTCGAAGTTCAAAATCGTAGTTTTGGGTGAATACATTTTCGGAATTGTTTTTTTTTAAATTATCAAATAACGACGACAAAAAAAATGTAAACAAAATTTTACAGTAAAAGACGACATTTGAAGAATTTGTAGAAATCTGCGAACAAATTAATAGAGAATAAGAAATTCAATTTAATGATAAAAAAACGAAATAATATATTCTAGCATTGATTTATTGACAAATTTCTTTTGAGAGATATGTTCCTAGACACCTAATTAGCTTTTACTGTATATATAATTTTATAAGAAATTCAATATAATGATAAAAACGAAATAATATATTCTAGCATTGATTTATTGACAAGTTTCTTTTGAGAAATATGTTCCTAAACACCTAATTAGCTTTTACTGTATAATTTTTACTTTATTTTTCGTCGTCGTTATTTAATGATTTAAAAAAACTGATTCTGAAAATCCAAATTCATGATTTTGAACGTTAACATGGACTCAAACTCAGTAATTATACTTCGTGGAAACCATGTGGAAACGTTTTTTATGTCTCAAATGAATCATAAAGAGTTTGTTCACAACATTATATACTCAGTTTAACTACCTTACATAGCCGGTCTGTACCTTTAAGAGAGAGCTATCGAGAAACACAAAATGTTTTGAATTTCTATTATGTGACTACATGGGTTGGCTTTTTTTACTTGTGCACAAGGGTAAAATGCAAGGAAAGTTAATTGAAACTGCGTATACTCTGCAGACATATTGGAACCAGTTCTCTCTGGGAGAAATTGTAAACAAGAATAGATGCACCAGTGTTGGTTTAGTGTCCGAGGAGGTTAAAAGCATTAAATTTTGATAATTTTGATAATTCACATAAAAGTTTCCTATGACCAGAATATTTCATTGATTTTTTATGTGAAAGATATGTCCCATGCCAGACTTCGACATCCGTCTTGTGTTTACATTAACGCTCAGAGACAGTACACTGCAGTACAAGAGATGCATACACCTAGCTCTGAAATAACTTTCCTTGCATTATAACCTTGCTTGTGGATATAAAATCAAAACTAGAAGACCTACGAGGTTACAAAGAAGTACAAGTAATGTGGGACAAATTTAACCTTCTTCTTTGATTTATAGTTTAGCGTGATATTGTTTGCTGGTAAATATAAGTTTTTTTTACAATATATTGCAACACCTCCCCCTTTTGATGTTTTACGTGTATTAGTGAATAGTTCGAAATCTTTGATAAAAAATAAGTTAGGTATAGAAACATCCCATATTTCTTGTAAAATTAAAACTGATACATTACCTCCTGATTTTTCAATTCTATCAAGAAATATTTTCAATTCCTCAAATTTTGATGGCAAACTTTGAATGTTTAAACTAAGGACATTTAATCCGCTAAAATTTCTAATGTTTGATACAAAATTGTTTTCACTTTGGTATGTATTTCTAACCTCAATGTTTGAAAATAATTTGGGACCCATATTTGTTTGATCTAGATAATCATTGTAATTAAGAGTATATTGCTTATTTTTATTAAGGGAACCTATATAATTTTTCACATCTTCAAGATCATCGTGGTCGTGTTTTATTCAATTTAGAACTGATAAAATTGTAATATCTTTGTCGAAATATGCATGTAATCCACCAAAGAGGGTTGAAAGGAGATAGGATAGGAAGAGGATGGGATTGTGTAAGCGATGGGAAAAAACGGTGTGGCATATTGATAAGAATGCTCAAATAGAAATGGGGTTCGTTAGAAAAAATAGACAATTGTTCTTTAGTTTGGAAAGAAATCAGAAAATTTGAAAAAAGTACATAATATCTCAAGTTTGCATATTTAAACAAACCGTGCGAAAAGAGGCAATACTTGGGGTTAGTGCAAATTTTTCGATTTAAGAACTTAATTTCAGTAGAACATTTACCAGTTTTAATTTAATAGTTGAAATTTAATATTTCTGAAATAGAGAGTTCATGATTTTTGTGTTCTTGCTTTCTGGATCACTGGCGTACATAATCTTCCCGTTGAGTGTTGTCCAGACTTTGTGCATCTTCTCCTTCTTCTTTGCTTCAACTCTTAGGGCAGCCAACAATTCAGAATTCCTTCTAGTGAGATCACCGTTGATTTGGATAGTTCCTCCCTGGTTGATTTTTTCATTTGACAGTCGGTATTCTTTTGGAATAAACCACTTGTGCTTAGCAGCATCTACAGGATTTAAGGCAGGGTAGATGAACTTGATAACCTTGGCTCGAATGGGTCTTGATAGAAAACGTAGGATAATGAGTGGTGGACCCGTTTGACTACGTCTTGAACCAGCTGGAGATAAACGTGATGGAAGGACATGACCATGTTCAATAACTTTATCGTATTCTGGTACTTGGCTTATTTCCCCTTTCAGCTTAGCAAATTCAAGAGATGGTTAGATTGCTTGAGTATAAACGTATTTCAGGAATTCTTCATCTTTGTATTCCTTTGGTACATGTAACCCCTTGATACGGATACTGAAATTCCTCTGATGTTGCTGCGTATCGTTAATCTCGTCTGTTAATTCTTTGATTTTGTTATCCTTCTGTGTGTTCTGTGTTTCAAGGGCTTTAGTTCGTTCCATGAGTGATTTAATCTCATCTTTGTTTTCTATATGGATAGATAACAAAGGATAGATATGGAAAGATAACAAAGGATAGATATATATGGATAGATATGGATAGATAACAAAGGATACATATGGAAAGATAACAAAGGATAGATATATATGGATAGATATGGATAGATAACAAAGGATACATTTGGAAAGATAACAAAGGATGGATAACAAAGGATAGATATATATGGATAGATTTGGATATGATAACAAAGGATTGGTATATATGGATAGATAGGGATAGATAACAAAGGGTAGATATATATGGATAGATAGGGATAGATAACAAGGATAGATATATATATGGATAGATAGGGATAGATAACAAGGGTAGATATATATATGGATAGCAAACATATAAGATAGAGAGAGACAACTTAATAGATGCAATATTGCCCAATAATGGAAGTCAGGAATTATGGTGATGGAATAGATAGTAAGGATAGACAAATATAGATAGTTAGATAGATAGATTGGTAGATAGATAGATAGATAGATAGATAGAAAGATAGAAAGATAAATAGATATATATATAGGTTGGTAGTTATATAGAAAGGTAGATAGATATATATATATAGATAGATAGATAGATAGATAGAAAGATAGATAGATAGATAGATAGATAGATAGATTGAGAGATAGAGATTTAGATAGATAAATGGATAGATAGATATATTGATGGATATGTTATAACTCAGTTTTATCATAAGATCTCGATATATTTGTATCAACTCTCCTGAGGTTGCAAAGATGTAAATGTCACCTCTGCAAACTCAACAATTTTAATCACCTTTCAATTGTAAGAACTAAAAGCCATAACTTATTTAAAGGTAACATACTGGAGCTAATTTCAAGTGATCCTTCATCAAAAGAAAGAAAAGCCTGATTTAGAACAGTACCCTTTAAACCCCTGTATGTTTCTTCAAGTACAGAGAGCTTGGTGTATAAATCTCTTGAAAAGCACTTGAATTCTTGTCAAACCTGATATTCACAGGCTGCAATGTGAACTTGTAAGTACATCTCCTTTGTAAGTTGTAATTACTGAATATTTACCTTAAATGTGGGTTTAAAGAATTCAAAAGAAAAAAATTATTTTCTTTCGCTTTTAGAAAATGTCTAAATATAAGTTTGAATAAGTCCGACAGTCAGAGGTTTTAAGGGTACTGTTTTGAATGATGCGTGCCACTCTACAAATGGAGGGTCACTTGAATTGACACCTACAGTCCCTTTAACTTTAACCTACATGTATTTATACATATTTTCCATGCAACTATATTTTTTTCTAATTCAACTTTTGTGTTTTCGTCAATAACAACAAAGTTATTCTTAAAACATTTTTTATTCAATACCTATCTGCAGAACAACAATATCAAAAGAAACGAGTCTTTTTCACTAACTCTGATTTTCTAATCCATATATCTTGGCAACACGATGTCGTAGACCTTAAATATTTTAAACTATGATTTTTGTTAGATCAAATAGTCAAAGTTTGAAATATCAAAGTTTTACACCCATGTTTGCAAAGATATAAGGATTAGAAAATTTTAGTTTGTGGCAAAGACTCAATTCCTTTACCTTTATCAATTTTCTGATTTGCTAAACTAGAATGTTGTATTTGGCCAAATGGTCTTCATTTTTAATTTTAATAATTTTCTAGAGAACATTTTTTTCTGAATTTAATTAAATATCTAACAGAAAAATATCCAACAATGGAAATCTGCGCCAAATGTTTCATCTTTTATTATCATCATTTTCCATACAGCCGCTGTCGGTGTTATTCATAGTGATCACTCTGAAAAAGAGTCAACACAACCAACGAAGCCCTCTAAACCTTTTTCAAGTAAAAAGATATTTTAGAAGTACATTTATTGCTTTTAGATATAAATACATGATAAATAACGAGTGTATTAAAGAAGAGGAAGATGAGTAGGTCTTCTCTGGTTCCAGGATCCGACGCTACTGATTTGCAGATTTTATAATCCTCTACAATATTGTAAATTTACTATTTGAAATTTTCTTTGGTTTCAGATAATATTGTTTTTAAATTGTCGTCTCAATGCTGCTTTATATTTTTGGATAGATAAACAAACATTGCTTCCACTTATTGATGGTCAGAAGAAGATAACGTTGCTAATTATGCCTCTCTTTAAGTTTAATGAAGAGTTCTTTTTATATGTACAGTGGTACCCATAAAACTGTAGAATAGGAACATAACATTTTAGCAATCTTATGTGAATTTGAAGCTATTATAACGTTATTAGTTGAAAATCATCTAATTAAATGAAGTGGATCTCTGTACACTAGATTGTCTCAAAATATAGCTTTTATTTAGCTAGCTAAATATGATGCAACTTCCTGGATCCCTGATCCTTGGATATACCTGAGTTGATATTTTAACTTCCTGGATCCCTGATCCTTGGATATACCTGAGTTGATATTTTAACNTTATATACACATAACATGCAAATATCTTGAAATATGTAGAATACAGACATCTTGTTTATATACACATAACATGCAAATATCTTGAAATATGTAGAATATCACATTTTACACAAATGTTTGCAGGATTAGGGGTGGGCATAGATTTTAAAAACGAAAGAAAACATTTTTCATTTAATAAAATTAAAACCTTGTTACTAAAAAATAGGCTTAAAATTGACAAACTTGAAAAACAAAAGAAGAAACGACAATATCGTATTTGAAAAACAAACAATCGTTTTGAATTTTCCCAAAAGTAAGATTTAAGAATAAACTTATTTATATTTTCTGCAAAGTTTTGGTAATTCCATTTAAAGCATTTTGATTAATTGAAAATTAATTTGATTTTAGATTTTTTTTCTCTACAGCAACATTCATTTAATTTTTCCGTAAAGTGAAAACTGTCAAATCCCTAGCAGGTTTAGCAGGTTTGTGCAAAAAATTTAAATGTGCCAACTTTTTTCTCCATAAATTAGGAAATGTATTATTTTGTTTTATTTAAAAGCACATTTTCACAGAATCTGATTTAATTCTGCAAACTTTTCACAAGTAAAATGTTCCATTCCTGATTTGCAAAAACAAATTTTATTAAAATTCAAAATAAAAATCTCAATATTGTTTAAATACAATTGAGAAGAAATGTTAAATCATTATAAAAAAAGGAAACTATAAGAAAATTATAAAAAGCAAGGATTAACATTGTACACATATAAGCATGAATAAAGGAATGTTGAAAGTGAAAAACATTCCAAGATGTAACAAAGCTCGTGGAGTGGATGAGGCCGCTTGGATTAGTTTAACCGTCTTCCTTGCATCTTGAGGCCGGATAGAATGAAATACCGAGGCTGGATGAACCAGCCTCGACTAAACCTCGAACCCAGAGCCAAAGTGAACCCAGGATCAGATCTGGCTTAGCTCAGGGTAGCTTAACTTCCGGTGTTTGTTTATTGTGAAGTGAGATAATGGGAAGAGTGTTTGAGCAAACAACAGTTAGAATTTAGATTGTGTCAACATTATAAGAGAACAGATTTTAAAAGTCAAAAAATGAAAAGGGTAAGTTTTTCCTTTGAAATTTTAAACTTTTAGATTAAAAGTTAATCATGTGATTTAAACAAAAAAAACAATTTAAAACTATCTGCAATGTAATTTTAACGTAAATTTTATGTTAAATCTTGCATGTTTTCATCCATATATTTCTTCTTATCAGAGACCTCTTGAGAAATTTATTTTCATATTTCTAATGTGCAACAAATAATTTAGTTTAAGCGTAGAATCAAAACTAAAAAAGCTACGAGGTCACTTAAGTGTACCAGTAATGTTTAATGAAACAAGCGTTATAGTTTTGTGTGTATATTCAGTGCTTCTCTCGTGGTTTTGGGTAACATATATAATCATAATTAATCTTCACTTCAATATTTAACATTTAGATCTAAAATATTTAAAAAACAAAAACTGAGCACTTTATAATAGTTGAAGACTCTAAAACATTGTGAAAGGAATTTAGTCTTTGCCACAAACTCAAATTTTCTATTCCCTATGTCTTTGCAACCTAATGGTGAAAACCTTAGATATTTCAAATTTGAATTTTTAAATCTAGCAGAATTTATAATTTGAAAAAACTGAAGTCTACGACATTTGGTTGGCAAAGATAAAATCGAGTCTGTGACAAAGATTTAATTCCTTTCTAAAAATGTTTAGAATAAAAACACAAATTTGTATTTTAGGTTTATGGTGAAATGGTTTTGTATTTTTAAACAACAAACAAAATTAACTGAAGTTTATTTTCTAAAAGAAATTTTTGGAGCGGAGATAATTAATTTTCTAAAAATATATTTTTCTTCAAAAACGTAAAAAAAAAAANTTGTCGCCATGAGCCTCCCAGATGCAGTCATGAGTCTTCCAGATTTGTGATACAGTACTGAGCCGAGTACAATATAGATTTTTCGCAGAAAGAACGTTATTTGACTGGTGTGAATTCAGCTTGCTTTGTTGGAAATCTTTTAATTTATCAAAACATGTTTAATTTTTTTCTTCAGATTTTTAAAAGTCTATTAATCAACAATTTTGCATTACAAGAAAGTTAATAGTTTATAAAAGTGGTTTCTCGGTACAGTATTTTAAAATTGAGAGGCTCATGGTGGGCAGAGCGTTCCCCACAGTCCACACTACGTGAACCGAATAACTCATAAAAAACTCATAATTCCGAGCTGAAAACTTAAGAAAATGGATATCGAGATAAAAGCTTATCTCCTCTTTTTGTTAATCGGAAGATTATTTAATCATTTCTTTTTAAATTTTACTGCAGAATCTCGTTCAGCCAACCACAAGCCATAAAATTTGAAATAGGAAAAAAAGGAAAAATATGTCTACGGTGGATTTTGTTTCCGATTTCCACTGTAAGCACTTTTAATTTGAGCATCAATGCTTAATCTCTTCAGTCATTTATCCCTTCAGGATACAATTACCTAGAGGGATCTTGAGTAAAGATCAAAGAAATCTGCAGATTAGCAAAAAATCAAGATAAAGCATTAAACTTGAAATCCACAATACATGAGTTCCCATCTCTGAATATCTATTGTGGGAAAAGTGCCAAAATTGTCTCTGTTTTGGACAATAAACTAAAAAATTGTCTCTGTTTTGGACAAGAAACAGCAAAATTGTCTCTGTTTTGGACAATAAACAGCAAAATTGTCTCTGTTTTGGACAATAAACAGCAAAATTGTCTCTGTTTTGGACAATGAACACTATATTGGCTCTGTTTTGGACAATAAAATGGGATTCATCTTTAGAATTTCTAATAGATTCCACCCAGCAAACCTTTATACCAGCTTTAAATTTTTCTTTATGTTTGTACATGACATTATGTATTCCTGTTTTTTCATTCTTAAATTCAATACTAAGGATCGGATCCATTTTTATGCGGATCCGGCCAGATGTTGGATTCATCATGTCAAGAATTGGATCCAGGTCCTAAACCTTAATCCAGATCGTAAATATTATTTTTCTAAGCTTCATAAATGAGGTTAATCTTTCACACCAACTCAAATTTATCTTGCAACCCCTGATGGTGTCCAAATTGGATATAGCAAAATTAGAATATTTTTATAACAGATTTCATAGTTTTATATATCTAAGGTCTCCGAAAATGAGTAGCAAAGGAATTGAGTCTTCGCCACAAACTCTTATTTTTAATCCCATATTTTTTTTCACTCCAAAGTCGCAGACCTTAGATATTTAAAACTAAAAATTAAGCTAGAACAACAAAGTAAAGTTTGAAATATAAAAGGTTATACCATCAGATTACAGAAATATAGAAATTAGAACATTCGAGTTTGTGTCCAAGAATCAATTCCTTTTCCCCCCGAAACAAAAGCCCTCATACGCCCCTGCCTAATTCAGACCTAAGACAACCTAAATTTAAGGTCGGTTTACATCAGTGATTTGCGGGGGGACAGACCATGGCCATCAGATTGTTTCGTTTGCATCAATAGTACTGGTGACATCCCCCTGAGTTGCTTGTGCACATATGCCCAGTGGCGACATCTCTGAGTAGCATTGGTAAACAAGAATAAGGGGATAGCACGAATGCAGTCCCCCACTATCAAAAATTACGTGTTCGAGTTACCCACATTTGGGGTAATCGTAGGGGTCAGCCCAACCGTAGTGCAATGGAAAGGCCTCACCCTAGAAGAACCGCCTTCGTGATCACGGTTAACCTCCACGCCAGATAAGTATGCCTCAACAGCATGAGCCCAGCCTATAAAACAACTTAAGACCAGATCATACCAACGCTCAAAATTAATAACTCAGAGAGAAACCCCGGACTGTGCCTCCAGTATTTATTGTTTCACTTGAAACGTTTCCAGTTTGACTAGGTTCACGGGCAGTCCTTGTGTCACCTTAGCACAGGCTTGGTATATATGCGTGAACTAGTGCTGCAATCTTGCATTATCTTAAGGAAGCAGTGTTTGTAACTACCAGCAGAGAAATAAAGTAATCTCAATGATGACCCTCCCCATACACAGAAATCTTTAGTAAAAGGCGAAAGATTTATTCAATATGTGTGGAGAGGTTTAGTAGTAGTACTAGTAGTAGTACTAGTAGTAGTAGTACTAGTAGTAGTAATAGTAGTAGTACTACTAGTAGTAGTACTACTAGTAGTAGTACTAGTAGTAGTACTAGTAGTAGTAGTACTAGTAGTAGTACTAGTAGTAGTACTAGTAATAGTAGTACTAGTAGTAGTACTAGTAGTAGTAGTACTAGTGGTAGTACTAGTAGTAGTACTAGTAGTAGTAGTACTAGTAGTAGTACTAGTAGNAATGTCCATTTTCAATTAAATGATTTAAAAAGATGAATTAAACAAGTTCAGACTACATCGATACACTCAATATTGTCCTTAGTTCTGAGCTGAATAAAAGAAAGAAAAAAAGGATTCGATTTGAAAAAAAATCAATTAGCGATGAACAATATTCAACACTTGAATGTTTAAGTAGGTGTTTAAAATATTGGCTTAAACTTTGTGTTTATATGATAACATTTTACTTGATTCAATACAACTTTTCTATTTTTGAATTAGCAAATGTATTTTTTAAAGTTATAATTACAAATATGAATTTATGTAGGTTTACATCCAAATAATCTCACTAGCGCCAAATTATAAAACTTCTTGTGCGGCAAAACTTTGAACTATTCTGAATGTTGCAAAGAATACGGGAGAGGAGATTAGTCTAGAACTTAGATTCCCAAAGTTTGAGCAAGAAACGATAAAAATCACAGGAAGATACTCTCCAGGGGTGAGCAAAGCTACATTTTGAAAATTAACGGACAACTAAAAAGTAGTTATAGGACAATTTTGTTTATTTTCTGTACTGTCTGAACGTTAAAAAGTTTTTTTTTTATTCAGAATTTTTAATTGTTGTTACCATGTTTTGAAACTGACTAGTTTTATTAACAAACTAAGAGATTTGTTTGTTAAATAGTTAAAAATGTTGTTTGGTGTCTTTCCGTTGCACAATAAATAACCTAAGGTGCCCACCCCTACTCTCTACCTTAATATACTAACTTCCCTACACCCCTTGCTCGTCCATTTATTATCATAAACCTCAGCAACATTTCAGATATTTAGTTCAAGGGGGGATTTCATAAAAGCTGTTTGCGCTATAATCATCAATTTTTTATTTTTCTGATCTTCTATAGTTAAGAACAAATTTTGTATTTTGTATGGCATTGCTATGGACGAATTTAGGACATTTAAAGTGTCAGAATAATCTTTATAATCTGAGAAAGCTTTAAAATATTAAAACTTTTTTCATTAGCAGAAATAGCATTTTTGAAAAGCATTAAAAAAAGAAATACACACATGTGTGTTATGCTTAAAAATGCTGAGAATGTAACTTTTTTGGCTCGACTTTTACAGTGAGTACAAAAATTTCAAAATTAAGAAGGTTTGAAAAGTGGGAACAAAATAACATTGTATTATACGCTACATATATCATCTCATAACCCCTCCTCCTATTTTAAACAGTTTAACAGAGACATATATAGGAAGCATAAAAGATATTCTGCAAAAGGAACGAAAATGTTATTTCTCCTATTCTCCTTAAGTGCATGGTACCATGCAGCATTAGTTATCTAATATCTATAGTTTGTTTGAAAAGGATAAAAGTTGGGATCTCGTGAGTTTTTCTAAACCCTGTATACCCTTTACAGAGTGTACTAATGTACTGAATTTATAACTGTTCTTAATAAGACAAGTCAAACTAAAGTAAAGGAATAGAGTCTTTGCCACAAACTCAAATGTGAGCAGTGACATTCCTATATCTTATAAACCTGATGGTGAAAATCTTTGATATTTCAAACTTAGATTATTTGATATTACAGAATTCATAGTTTGAAATATCTAAGGTCCACAACATTGGGTCGCAAAGATATGATGAATAGAAAATCAGAGTTTGTGACAAAGACTCAATTCCTTTCACTTAAGATTAAAATCTAATATTTTTTAACAATAACTTAATTTGTTGAGTAGTTCTTTAGAAGAACAAACAAAAGGAACTAAGTCTTTGCTGCACAAACTATGTTTTCATAATCCCTATATCTTTACAACCCTATATGTCGTAGACCTTAGGCAAACTATTAAATCTGTTAGATCAAATAATCTAAGTTTGAAATATCAAAGGGTTACACCATTAGGTTGTATAGATATAGGGCCAAAAAAATTTGAGTTTGTGTCAAAAACTCAATTCCTTTGAGCTTAATTATGTTACCAGAGCTGAAAACTTTAGAATGAGATATCCTTAATCCTGATTACTTAATCTGAGTATCCAATGGACACACTTTTGATTTTCCTCTTAAACCGTTCTTTCTTGGATATAGGAGAGAAAAATCAAAAATCTGTTTTTCTAAATTAGTGAGTTCGAATGCGTCGAAAAATAATCGATGACTATTGGTTGTAATTTCTGAATGATTTGTTTGGAATTAAATTGACTATTTAATTGATCCGAGTTAAATGTTGAAACTCTCTGAATTTATATGGACGCAACAAATAGAAGTAAGATTAGTAGCGACCAAAAGTGCTTATTTTACGCCGTACGCCTGTACCCCCTTTCATTTTTCGCGAACACTCCCTTTAATATTAAAGATATTGTCATTTTTCTATAGCTTGAAAAGTGTTTAATTCTATATGTTTCCTCTGATGATTCTAATAACAGAAATAGACAATCGAGTCATTAATTGAAGAGAACCCGTAAGAAAAAATGATATCTCATGCAATCTTTACGAGAATAAGGTTTAAAAGGTACTGTTGTAAATTGGACATGCCACTTCCACGTTTAATGTCCTTTAAAAGAATTTTTAGAGACACTGCAGCAAGAGCTGAGAGAGAGAGAAAGGATTACAGAATTAATGATCAGCTGGTCTTATACAACATTTTTCTCTTCTATTCCTGGACATATATATATATACTGATTATTGATTAATATATAAATATCAGCATTTATGTTGGTAATTTATCGAATAAGCAGTGTATTCCAAGTGTAAGCATTGACATCAATGTGAAATAAAAAATCAAATTCTGGCAAAATAAGAAGAGAGGATTAGAGTCTTTGCCACACGCTATAAATGTCTAATTCCTATATCCTGGCAACCTGAAGGTTTACTCACCTTTTATATTTCATACTTAGATTATTCATAGTTTGAATTATATGCAAAGATATTGGGATTAGAAAATCAGTTTTTGTGGCGAAGACTCAGTTCCTTTGCTAAAAGAGCTTCATTATGGGGTTACACACAAAAATGGTTTCAAAAGGTGGCTATCTCTAATGTATCAAAATTGAAGGCCATATTTCAATAGTTAGTGCATGGTTGTTATTACGTTTTGTAAAAGAACACTTTTGGATATTTCACTTACAAGCCTTCGAATTTTTTTTTTTTAAATGTAAAAATCAATAAAAATAATTTACAGGAAACCTAATTATTGAAAATGTTTCTGCAAAATCAATCCAAACATTTTAATTTTAATTTATCTATATCACAAAGATGACTTAACTAAGAATTGATATATAATTCTAGGATTTGATCTATACATCAGAATAGTATTAAACATAATTAGAACTCAAATTAGAATGCATTAGAACTCATTAAGCATCATTAAAGTTGGCTAAAGTTAAACTTAAAGTTAGATAGTTTGCACTGTGTTCTATATACTGTGGATTTAAACATTATGAAAAAGTTTAATAAAAATGTTCATTGTTGAGAATTTTATACATTTTTTAAATCCAAGAATATTTCAATTTTAACAAACATGGGGTCAACTCAAACAGACTTTTAATGATTTTTCAAATATGTAAAATTAAATTAGCCCTTAACGATTTTTTATCTCTCGTTATTTAATTTCTCCAACAGTATTTTCCCCAACAACAGTTTTCGTTTATAAAATAAGGAAGATTATAAAATAATACTTTTTTTAATGAAATCCCTAAAATTATTGGATTATGTTAATATGATATTAAATGATAATTGACAAAATTTTACGAAATTACAAAGAATTCTTCATATTTAGGTGAGCATAGAATATAGAAAGGAATTGAGTCATCAACTCAAGTTTCGAATCACTATATCTTTGCATCCTGATGGTGCTATTTCATTTCATGCTATTTACATTTCCTTTGAAGCTAAGGCTTGACATTAATATAATAAGGTATCAAATTAAATGAATCACGAGAAGAACTTAAACAACTTAGACTGAGTGGAACCTTTAAATCTTGGACATGACAAGTGTTTTAACTAGGTCTACGTAGTTCAACTACCTTTTGCTATTTATTACATCTGGTCTCTGCATTATTACATAATAAAAAATTTTATGTCATAACTATATGAAAAAGAAGGCAAATTAGAATGGAAGGAATCTAGAAAATGTATACAAACTACATACTACACAGTGTACTTTTTCAAAGAAAAAATAAAAAAAACAAAATTTTAACCCTATTCCTGCTGAGGGGGGGGGACAAATTGACCCCCCCTGTAGTTTTTTTACATAACTCAAAAAGCATTGGTCTGAGGCTGTTGAAATTTTCTGACTTTTCCTACATACCCAAAGCCCTACCTTTAGGCCTAAAACCTGGCTTTAATACTAACTGCCTGAGTCCTCAGGCTCACTCCCTGAATGACTTCTTTTTCTTGTAACAAACTAAATCTTTGTTTTGACCCTCTTCCACTTGTCAGATTTTGATAAAATTTAGCTTTTTAGAAAGCCTTTTACATAAGGAAACGAATTGCACAAGTTTTGCGAAAAAAATTGCAAATTTTTTGCAAACAACCTGTAAAAGGAAATTTGCACATTTTTAGATTTTCTTGATTAAAAATTAATATCCACCATCCTATTAACCCTTGTAATTATAATATCCACCACCCTATTAACACTTGTAATTATAATATCCACCACACTTTTAACCCTTGTAATTATAATATCCACCACCCTATTAACCCTTGTAATTATTATATCCACCACCCTATTAACCCTTGTAATTATAATATCCACCATCCTATTAACCCTTGTAATTAAAATATCCACCACCCTATT